GCCGCAATGACTGAGGGGAGCCAGGGACGCGTCTAGACCGAACTGCGGCAGTCCTTTGGGGCTCGAGCGTCAATGAAAATCCCAACTCAGAGATGAGATGAGATGAGGTAGTATGATGCAAGTGGAGCCTTGTATGAAGTCATTCGGAGGGTAAATAAACAAGTGATAGAATTTAAGATCGTGGTTTGTATGTCTGCCGCGCTGTCAAGTGCGGGTGCTAAGCTAACATTTAAGACTTGAGCTCTTCTTTCTGTAGCTCACATTCAAGCGATTGCAACCTGAACAACGGAATGACGTCCATAAATATAAGTACATAGGATCTCTTCCCAGTTCTATGTGACATCACCTTAAAAGAGGTTTTTAAATATAAAGCTTTGTGACATGCGTGCGCTGTGAAATATTTCATCAATGATGATTTCATCAAGAAAATCCCAAATTCATCATCTCAAGGAATTAGAATCAAGTGGATTAGGGATTTAAGATGCTTTTTTTTTTTTTTTTAAAATGTTGAAATGGTCTGGCCCCACCTTACCCTGTCTGAACTCCTCCACCTCGAAACACCTCAGGCCAATGGACTACTAGATTCTACTGGAGGTGCAAAGGACTAAGCGGAGCCTCAGAGGGCCTCAAGGGTATTTTATTGCCAGCCCCCGCTTTGGAATGAACTTCTGTCAAACATTAGGCAAGCCCCCCCCCCCTCCCCTTGTCCATCTTTAACCCTTTCAGGGACAGCGGTTACTACAGTGGGCATCTTATCATGTTATCAGGTTACAGGGTGCATCAAAGGGTTAAAACTCATCTGAAAACACATTTTTATTCTTTGGCTTTCGACACAGCGTGAGATCCACTAGGGGCACTACGGAGAGGTGTATCTAGATGGGGAGGGGCACATAGATAAGATAGGAAGAAGAAACAATACATGTTGAATGTTATCTTACAACTGTGAGCTCCTTGCAAATAAAGCAAAGAAAGAGGAACAACAAACGTGCTTCTAGGAAGACAACAAATGTACTGTATGTTGGTGTAGCTTGCATAATTGGATGAACCCAAACAGCACAAATCAACTTGTGTCCATTTTTGTTCCTGTTTGAGGACTTTCACTGAATGGAATCAGCCAAGGATTGCAACAGTGCTGATAGCGAGCCACAAGCACTCGTCCAAAAGATCATCAATTATGTTGGAGAACGGTCTTGGATGGGACTTGTTTTCATCAATGGGCCAAAAATGCCGCTCCACATTTCCTTTCTTAGGTGTAGCAATAGCACACTAGCAGATGAGGCAAAGACATTTCGAAAGCAACATCGTGCAGAAAAAAATGCTTACTGTACTTGGCTTATTTGGCCCTCTCATTTTTATACTTTTTATTAAGTTTAGTGTGGACAAAACAATTTGGAATCTAACAATGCAGATAGCACCATTGCATGCATGTGGGTTTTTTTTTTCCCCAACTCATTCACTGCTGTTTATCAATAGTACAAAACTGTGGGCTTGTGAATTGGTTCATGCCATGGGCTCAACCGACACTCCCCTGGCAATCGACCGGCCAATTACGATCAATGTAATCGGCATCCCTATCTGAGTCGAGTCAAGTCCGTTTTTTTGTTTTTTTTTTTTGTCAAATATGCTCTATGTACAACAAAGAGCACAAATGAAATTTCTTTCCTCTCAACCACAGTGCAAACATGCAGTGCATTAAAAATAGCACACTTCCGGGGTTGATGCGTCAGATCTCACTTTGGGAAAAAGATTACTTTGTCAAATTGACAAAATGTATATTTTTTCATGCTTTAATTAATTGTGACAAAAATATTTCGCTTGGGATTTTCGAAAATTACTTCACATTTGACCTTTAAGTTAAATGCATTTGCATTCAGTCTTTTCAGTCCGTTTGATTTCCAAACAATTATTTTGTTACCAATGTTATTTAACTTGAATGCATTTTAATTGAATGATTATTGAAGTACAGTTGTGATGTGACTTGGATGTTCTCACATATGAGAGGCCATGTAACGTACACCCTGTAACAGAAGCCCCCGTCACCACTGAGTCCCTGAAACAAAGCACAACAAAACATAACATGAAGTTCTGCATGATGTTACTGAACTCTAAAGAATTAAGGACAAGATGAAAGACTGAAAGCGTTTCAAAAATCACAATTGCATCAAAGTTCCCTCTGATGATTACGTGTGCAAAACAAAACTCCGCCTATTGATCACAGACCATCCTTCATGTTCTGCCTCCTCCCTTTGTCTCCGTCCTCACTCTGTTCACTTCTCACAACAGAAAAAAAAAAAGAACGCGTGGACATCCGCAGGGCGCGGGAAAGTCTTTTCGGGCAGACCACACCACCACAACAAGGGTCTGGCTACGTTTTAATTTTATAATTATTTATTTGTAATATTTTCTTCCACCGGATATTTTGGGGATATTCCTCCCTTTGAGCTGCTGGCAAACCAAATGTTTCTCCCCCCTATTTTGGACTTATCTCACATGGGAGTTTTCTTTTTTTTTTTTGTCGAAAGTGCCGCGTGACATCTCAGCTCGAGGTAAAGAAACATTGCATTGATATGTAACTTCGTCATAATTTCGCGAAGGATAACAGTCGGAGGCGGGCAAACAACACTAATACTCAAACGTAATTGCACGTTTAGTTACGTTTTTGTCCATTAACCGCCTGTCATCGTGAGTATGTTTAGAACCACGTTTTTTTACTCTACGCTCAAAGTAATGCAACGTGTTTTTCCAAGTTAAGACCGCAACATGTCACGACTTTGTGTTTCGTGAGGAGGAAAGAAAATGCCTACAAAAGAAACCACATGCAAGTGTACACGCTAACCTTATACGATTAATTCCTTTCCATTAAAGAAGTTCAACTGGTTTCCTGTGGTGTAACTGTTGAAGTGGTGTCACGTGACACGGTGCAAAGCGTCGCGACTTGACGCGCGTATCAAACCATAAAGTTAGTTACACGAGGTAAAAAGTGTCAGTGTCGGTCCTGGTTTTTTTTTAATCACCAGAAACACGCATACTTCTCCAGATAACAGGACGGCTAAATAATAGTTGCTGTTATGCACCTGCAATGTTGCACTTGCACATTAAAGGTGGAATTGTGTGGCTTGAGTTTGAACATCTTGCACTTGAGTGCACCTTTGTGGCTCTGTTGGCATAGAAAAAGGCACGCGACCAAAATTCTGCATTTGAGACCATAGCAAAGTACTGATGTAGAATGGCAACAACTTACCTCAATAAAAGCAGTTTGGTCAGAGATGGAAAAAAAAACACGTCTTTTCACATTCTTGTTTTTATTCATTAAAACTGGATTGGGCAGTCACAAACCTGTCATTTTAAAATAGATGTAATTACCTGGGGAAAAAAATAATTGAAAGAGCAATAACAGCAACAAAGAATAACCGTTGAAGTAACCAGAAAAGACAGAGGACTACTTAAAACTATTGGAGCTAAAGTGGAAAATGTCAGCGACACCACTGGTATGTGGTAATTGTTTTTAACGCTTTATGTATGTTGTTGTCTTTATGTAATTTTTGTATCCTGAGTAATGGAGCATTTGGCATGTTTAATGTGTGTGTCTGTGGCTAAACTGTGGCATACATGATTCGATATAAAATATGTCTTGATGTGTGTGGGTTTTTTTTTAAATAAATTTTTAAAAAATCACTTGAATTCAAGGTTGGATTTTACTTTTTAAAAGCAGACATTGGTCTTACATTTACAATAAAGAGTTGTTAAAAGGTAAAGAACATATCTGTATTTTTAGAGCTCTCTCTCTCTCTCTCTCTCTCTCTCTCCCCCACACCCCCCACCACCCCTCTCCCTCTACATGACATTCAGGCTTATATCATGATTATCATACGATTCGAGCCCCGAAGTGGTCATCTGTCTTAATGTCCCATTTTGTTTTCTCTGGAAAATATTCTGTCTGTGCAATTTGCCTTACTTGAGATTTATGGTCACTCTGAAAGCTGGGGGCGCACGGCTCATTATTTAACTAATGCAAGTGGATTAACTGAGGTTTTAATAAACGATTCAAAGAAATCAGACACAACACTGCCCATATTTTTAGGCAGTAGTGACTGGTAAATGATAAACGAACAATCTGGTCAACATAAAATTCTTTATTTAAAAGCACAATTCCGCTAGACTGATAAGTCAAAAGTGTAGTTGCTTAAAACGGAGTGCACGGGTCATGACTTTAAGATGAAGCAGGCCTTACAATAGAAGTCAAGTCCCACATTTTCTTGGCAATAATATGATCAGCGTGACTCGTCTAAATGGTATTCTGATTCATGTTGGCTAGGTGGAATAAGAATAAAGATGATGAATACAGCCGATTTCAGCCATTTAAGGAGGCTGGCATTTTTTGTGGCACCGCTCCCCTGCTGTCAACTGGAAATGACACATTGTCTCAGTCACGGCGCTCCTGTTTTCTGGGTTTGGTCACATGGCATTCCTAATGTGAGCCAAAGGCCACTTTGACATCAATTTCAGTTTACAAAATAATAGCAAGATAGTAGAATATTAAATTGATCACTGGTTAATGTAAAATGTTTGCTCCTGAACCTCAGCGCACAGGATCAGAATGTCAGGGCTCACATAACTAATTTTCAGACACGATTACAAGCTGTCATCTGTGACACATATTTACTCAGAAAATGTTCCTTTCTTGGAATTTTTCCTTTCTTGGACCCCCCCCCCCTTTTTTTTCTTAAGTAATTTCAAATTGATTAGATTCCAAAGTCACAGCGAGCCGCCAACTCAGGCATTCATAGTGTATGTGCTGTGACTGCACAAGGACAGAACGCCCTTGTAGGAGAGACGCTTACGGGTTGATTGCAGAGTGGTTTTGATAGCGAGCTCGTTTTGCACTTACCGTGCATATTTTAATCGGAATAACAACTGAATAGCTTGAAGCAAGAGCAGTCGCGATCTGCCGAATTGCACAAAGTACCGCTCCTGTTTCATCTAGGCCCCAAGTATATCACATGTGCTTACACCTGTGTTATTCTCTTAGGCTTGGCGTCACACCATCAAAGCCTGACAACAAGATGAGCAACCAGTGAAAGTCGACGCCGTTTTTAAGCCACGATGCCTTTATTTGACGAAACCGTGGCATTTGCTGGACTGTCAAAGTCATCAGACATGTCTGGCTTTATTGTCAAGCCGATGTTCCATTACGGTGGGGCCCATGTTTCCTACAACCCCCGAGAAAAGGACGCAGCAGAGTTTACAACACCTTGGACTAACTCAAGCGCGTCTCTGCTGGACGCAGGAAGTCCGATACATCAGGCGCCCGGGATGAAAACGGGCGGCGACCATTCATCTCTCTCTGACAATCCTGTTTATCTGGCGATTCCAAAAGCTCTGTATGTCCATAAACCTTGCTGCCATGATCTGAGTTGCATGATGGGACATCGGTACAGCTTGGAGCACGGTCAGACGGCAGCCCCTGCTGAAATCGAGCATGACTGGACTCCCGGGGAGGCTTACCGCAACCAGAGATCAGCCATCCAGCGAATTGCACAAGAGAAACTGCAAAGTTTACAGTTGGATCCCGGTGAAGAACAAGTCAAGCGGATGACCGCAGAAAGCTTGAACAGAGGAAGGCCGACTCGAATGGAGCCTCGCTGTTGCGGCTACCCCCGCATGCCCCCTCTTCCCATGCTCACATCTTTAAGTGAGCAAAGCCGACATTTACAGCCTCCCCCCAGAGGCTACGCAGGCCTTCACCCCTCCCATGCAACATATGAGCATATGACCTCAGAGCTTTATCAAGAATGTTCTCCCGTGTCCAAATATGGTCATCCAACAAAGCGCCCAATGTTTTACTACTCGCAGGCCAACGTGGAGGTAGAAAGCAGAACACACTGCCCGGATGTTGGCGGTGAGCAGAAAGAAGACGTTGCCGTTCGGAAAAGCGCCATCCCGACCCCTCGGGAGCATTATGCATTCCCTCCAACGCTTTACGGCGACATCCCTTTGTTTTTGCACAGCACTGAAGCGCAAGCAAATCACTCCTTTGTGCAGGGCTTCGGCTATCCGTGTTATGCGCATCCTGGTTTTCATGTAAGTCAAGTCCGAAACGTTGAGAGGCAGCGTGCGCCGCCTGGGCTGCCTTCTCACAGAATCAGCGTGTCGCCAACGGACAAACGTTTACCCACCGCAGCCGGAATTCAAAAGAGCAACATCAACCAGCATGTCGGAGCATTGGACGCCCCCCCTGCTTTGCCGCGGATGGACCCCATCGGTCCGACACGACCTGCAGGTCATTCCGTGTTGCCTGCCCACTTTCAAATTAGCAGGCTGTATCCTTCCATCACCAGTCAACTTGATCATCAGATGGATCAACCGGTCCTTTCGCCGTCTGGCTTGACTCAAGAGAGACCGCTGGACTATTCTTTGTATGGAGGTCAGCGTACGTGCTCCAAACATCCCAAAGACCTCCCAGCTTCCCCCAAGACGCGGCTTCCGCAATCCCCCAAACAAACGCCCGATTGCCTCTATGCACCCTTAATCAACAGGCCAGAATTTGAAACAGTCCTTGCATCAGGTAGTAAACCCAACGGAGCTCCGTGCAGCTTTGCCGATTGTGTTCTCGAAGACAGTCTGAAGCGACGTTCCCCATCACTTATAAAAATCAAAGAAGAGGCGCCGGATTCACATGAAAGTGACTCGCTTACAAAGCGACAAAAGTTGGAAATTGAGGAGGCCCTCAAAGGAAATCAAGAGGAGTCTCCTCAAATGCCGGTTATTGACAGTGTGTTTAGCCTGGCACATGACGGAGAACACCTAAAACCTCCTGGAGTGTTCGTTTCAGACGTCGAACCTCAGAGAGGGAAAGAGTTGTCTGAACATTGTAAAGTCGAAGCCACAACACCCCTTAAAAAAATAACACCTAGTCCAGTGAGACCACCCGCTTGTATGAGTCCAGAGAGGTCTCAAGTCCAAATGATTGAACCCGCAAAGATCAAAATTGAAAAGATAAATCAATCGTACACATGTGACGCTCGTAGTGAGGCCGCTCGTAGCCCAACACAGGATCAAATCAAACTTGAACCCGAAGATGCAACTCTGTCAGACACCAAATCCATGCTAGTCACTCAGATATGTGAACCCGAGAATCTTGAATGGAAACCTTCACCGGTCGAGGTCAACATTTCTTCAGAGAGCCCCAAACCGCCAATCTCCTCTCCGGGTAACGCCAGCGCAACGGAGGAGCAGGAAACCAACACTGAGCCGAAACCTTTCAGTCCACCGCAACCACAGAAACTCAAATTTGATCCCAAAACCATTCCAACTGAGTGCTTAAAGCTTAGCTCCACCAGCAATATCCGTCTCCCCGATCAGAACGTCTGTCATCCAGCTGAACAACAAGAAACACCCGTGCAAATTCAGGATGAAACAACACCAAGGAAACGAAGATCTGTTCGTAAGCATTTCTTAGAGCTGCATCGCGCCCTCTGCAAGCAGATATCCAAATGTGTGTCTGCCACTTCAGAGCAAGAGCTCCGAACCTGGCTGTCTCAGCTGGGACTGGCGGAATCCTCGTCAACCAAAGTCCAGAAAGTTTCCTGCATGTTGGGGATTCAAGCCAGGGACAAGTGGCTCAATCAGGAGATCTGTTCTGCTCTTCAGGAGGTGCTGGACAGGTTGAGGGAATACATCGCATATGAGCGCTGCCCTTTTCCACACGTCATGAGAACGGGGGCGGTGTTTCTCCCTATGCTCGTGGTGAAAGAAATCCTTTTCCCCGTGGTGCCGGGCACCTTCATCGACCAAGTCCTGCAAGAACACAAGGTGGAACTGCGGCCCACGACCCTCTCCGAGGAGAAGCTCCTCACCCAGCTTCACAAACCCTGCTCGTCGCGACTCAGGAGGCTGATGTCGCTCAAACACTTGCCCGACGTCTACGCCGATGTCATCAACCTCTTGTATTACTCCAGTGTCTGCAAGCACCTGGGTGAGTGCACTTAATGTCTTTGGATCTTAACATCTTTGTCAACAAACCATATTTGGGAACTTCCAGGTGTCAAGCTGTGATTTGTCTGAGGCTGGATTTTTACTGCATGGTTCAAGTCAAGTTTTTTTTTTTCAGTTTCATAACAGTGTATAGAGAAAAACCCGCAAACCCGGCCTCTTTCAAATTGTGCCATGTCGACTTTTATATGTCCGATATAGTTAGCATTGAGGCGGCGTTGGAAAGTGACAGATTGCTTGCTAGTTGGACACAGTAAGCCACCGAACCCCAACAAATCACTGTTTCCAGGTTTGCGGTCTCACTATTTCATTTGAGATATAAATGTATTTATTGTACACTTAATAACTCTTGTTTATTTTGGGTGTAATTTAACTATTGAGCACGAGATGGCAGCACACAATTTACTTTTATTTTGAGATGGTGGAAATTTGAAAGACGAGTTATCAGCACGGCCTATTTTTTAAATGAAAATTATTCAAAGTCATCCTCTGTAATCCTGCTTTTTAAGCCGACGTAACGGATCATTTTAGGGCATTACAGATGTATATTGTGAGTTGGTCAGCTTGGATAGGATTGGTTCATTTTTTGTACAATATATTTGTGTTATCCATTGCTCATATACATTGCTCACAAAAAGTTGGGGATATTTGGCTTTCAGGTGAAATTTATGGAAAATGTAAAAGGTTCACGCTACAGTGATATCAAATCATGAAAGTAGTTTAAGTATGCACTGGTGAATTCCTCGTCTCTAACAATTCATTGAAACAGAAGTTAATGATGGGTACACCACAACAAAAAAATATCAACGTCACAATAACTCGTCATGTGCCCTTGAGCATCAATTACAGCTTGACAATGACACATCGTGCTGCTTAGAAGTCGACTTATTGTCTGCTGAGGCATGGCATCCCATTCTTCTTGAAGGGCAGCCCTCAGGTCATTGAGGTTCTGATGTGCAGAGGTTCGAGCACACGGCGACTCAGCTGATCCAGCAGGTTTTCAATGGAATTCAGGTCTGGTGAAGGTGCAGGCCATTTGAGGTACACCGGTCTCCAATAGCCTTTCTCTGATAATGAGACCTCGATGAGCTGGAGCATTGTCGTCCATGAAGGTGAAATTAGATGCATGTTGTTCATATAGGTGCACAATCACTGAATGAACTCTGCATCTCGATTGCAACTTGCCGATGACACTATAAGCTCAGTGGCCACTTCCGTCTGCGAACGTCCTGTTTGAAGCATCACAATGGGCAAGGTACTATTGATCCAGTGGTAGGCGTCGTCTTGCTCTCATGATGTCAAAATGTGAACAGCGTGACGAGGGCGAGTGTTAGGACGTTCATTGGAGGATTCAAGGATCAAACGCCTGTTGTGAATTTTGCCGTGAAGCTCCTCGTTAGGCAACTTGTGCAAAAAGTACCAAAACATTTCACAGTTGGACATGTGCTTTTAAAAGCTTCGAGAAGGTCACATTAAAGTTCATCTGAAAAGGTTTGAATGCATTTTAGGCTCGTCCTGAAATGTCACCCGAAAGCCAAATATCCCTAACTTTTTGTGAGTAGTGTACTTAGTGTTTGAAAGTGTATTTGTTGAAACACCCTCAAAAATGGAAGTGCCGTGAATGGCATAAAAATATGGCTTGTGAATATTTAGATCTGGCGTTTCTATTTGGCGGATTTCACCCATTGCCGAGATGACCTGGAACGTAACCTTGTGATGGAAGGCGGGGTATACTGTAGCAAACATGAAATATAGTCCAAATTTGGTACATTTAAATCAAACCAATAAACTCATTCCAATGCTACAAGTCTCAGAAAGAATGCTGGGTTACTGTTGCATCAGTTGGTTGTTGCCTTTGTGTATTGTGCAACCACACCAAAGGCAACTTTTTGAACCAGTGTTTCCAGACTCCTCTTGCGGTGAAAAAGAATGCGTTCTTTGTTGAACACCCTAATGACTTTCATTTGGTTCCACTTAGTTGAACGGTGGTTTGTTATCTAAGCACTGACAAATTTCTGCTCCACTGGCAGACGCCATTAATATTCCAAATAAAATGCCATTTATTTTTTTACAGACTCAACATCACCTGATGTCCAAAAGACTACCCAGGTATATACTTAATTTTTATGGTGTCAACTAATCCCACCACACCTTCCTTCCTTTTTCCGTTACGAGCAAGGAAGCTCATTTGTTGGAGCACGTTGAACATATTATTCCAAAGAAAATATGGACCTTCAGATTTTGTGACGAGAAAGCAAAGTCTCTGTTGCCGAAATGCATGTGCGCAGTCGTCAGTGAATGCGGCGCTGATATTGCCAACAGCTTCTGCAAACTTCCACACGCTCTCCTTGTTTCTGTATGTTTCCTCTCCTTTGGGGCCCATCTGCTTCTTCCCTGACCATCGCACCCTGTTTATGTTACAGCGCAGTGTATTCTATGTGGAGACTCAAAGCCTAATATAGGGTCCTATAGTGTTTCCCCATTGCAGTGAGACAGTCGAATTGAGAGCCTCAGTAACTTGCATTACGAACAGACGTGCTTATTTTTATATTGTGGGGGGAGCAATAGCACCATTTCGGTCGTGGCCAAAAATCATTTGGCAGTCTCTTCACGTGTTCAGTAGAACGTATTAAGAAACAAATCTCTAAATTCGTTTTAGCTAACCTGCTAACTACTCTGTCGCTTCCTAGTTGGATATTGTTGTATTTGACGTCATAATCACAGAAATGGTGGGGCAACATTCAAGGATTTTCAGTCATTAAACGGTAAAACTTACTGTTTTCAATAGCACACCCCACACCATGATCGGTCCGTATTTTTTTTTTATGAGCAATCCCCCTGGCCCTGAATGCAAAAATGGTAGAATCCCTCCATTCAACCAGCAGTGAGCATGCTAACAGACAGCTCAACTGTCATCATTGAGACAGCGCTTCTCAGTTAATTAACTTTGGAAAAAAAGGAACAATGAATTCATGTTTTGATTCAACGTGATCAATAAGGGTTGCACGTAATTGGCAGAATCATGCACCTCCCTATTCTGAATGTAGAAACAAGCTTTGAACACATCACTCAAGTGTCCTTCATCTCGGACCAGGCTGCTGGCTTTTTCAATCAGAGCTGTGTATTTTTCAAACCATTTGTCCATTTCCTGTAGTGCTTGTCTTGGAGGCTATGCGAGCTAGCTTTTGGGTGAGAGGTGGGATGCACCCTGGTCTGGTCGTCAGCCATCGTGACTTTTTAAACTCGGAAGGGTGAACTAAAAATGTGGCATGTGGTCATCCAGACCTGATAAAGTAGCAACATTGAAAGCCAGGACTCTTGAGTAACTCAATTCACCTGGAAACTAAATTAAACCCCCAGTTCCTCGACACCACAGCACAATGTTCTGCTAAAGGCTTCTAAAAGCCGAAATGTGGTGAGCCCATCCAATTTGGTCAACTTTTGCTGGCACTTTATTTGCTAAATTGTATTCTCTATTGTTTTTGACATACCAGCTGCTCGACTTTGTGGGGTCAAGATACTCTTTCAACAATGTTTCCATTGTTGGGTGTTTTTAGATGTGGCCCTCGTTAAATTGAACGTGGAAAATCACTTTGGCTTCTCTGTGCCGAGGGTGACCAGCTCAAGTTGTCATTTGTTTCGCTTCTGCTAAATCCAAACATAGTCAGAATCTGGATGACCTCCTTTTTGTTGATACACGACATTGAATTTCATCCTTCACTTTGACTTGAACACGGAACCTCTTGTGGAAGGAACAATGTTTAACCCTGACTAACACACTAACCCCCACCCCCATCCCCACCCCAACACCCCACACGCTCATATGACTAATCTATTTTTTTTGTTTTTTCCCCCTGAAGGGTTTCCCGCTTGCTCTGTTTCAGGAGTAGACGTAGAGACTTGGGAAGGCTGGAACATCAGTAGCAGCTCTTCACCAGCAGAGGACACCAAAGCCAAATCTCACGAGAGGAGCGTTACCAAGGCAAAAAGCAGGGTGAAGAGCAGTTCCAGGCGCCTCTTTCTGGACGACGGCTTGTCTGACGACGAAGACAATAACACACAAAAGCACGCTGAAAGAGAATCGGACAAGACAACCAGCAGTGAAGATGCTTTACCCGCAGATGATTCCTGGACTCACCCTTTAACTTCAGACAACTTTGCCAATAGCGATGTTGAACCAGAGAAATCTTCCAGTTTCTCGGCTGCATTCCAGCTGGCGTCCCACAAGAGTTCGGGAATGTTCGTCAAGCTGAAAAGCAAGGAGGCCGAGCGTAGATGCGTGAACGTCAGGTGGCAGCGCACGGGAAGCACGAGCCGAAGCCTGCGTCCCCTCAGCGGCTCGCGAAAGCGAAAGACGAGATCACTTTTGAAAATCAAGTACTGTCCCTACCTGTCGGCCTGCCACAGTGCCGAGCGCAGGCGCCGCTGGGTTCTACGCTCGGCTGTGCGTCGCGCAAGTGGGGCATTGAGACTTACTTACCCGGACCTGGTGGGCAAGAGGATCCGACACCTATACGAGGAGGATGACAAGTCTGAGGTGTGGTACCGAGGGGAGGTGATGCGGGTCCACGAGGCTCACAGCAACCCCCTGAAGACCATCTTTGAGGTGCGCTATGACAGCGAGCCCGAGTGGAAGTACTACCTGGAGCTGCTCATTGACTACAAGAAAGGATGGCTCACTGTTGAAGAAGACAAATGACACGACAGCAGGGGTCACCGCCACAAATTGGGACACAAATAGGGAGCCCTTAACACTTCGACAGAGAATCTATGGGCCTGATTTCCTAAAGATTTGCGCGTTCAAACAAAGCGGATGCATACTGATGTGGAAGCTATTTAATGGAGTGCTAGTAGGATTTTAGTAATCTAAGTTTTTATCCTGGTAAGGCAATTGACAACAGATTCTCATTTGCGATGCCAAGCAAAATGGACAAAAAGTCAACAGTACAGTGTGATGTAGTTACACAATAAATCACATCACATGAATAATGTGAGAATAAAAGGTTCAAAACGGGCTAAAATCAAGTGCAGCAAATCATGTATGTACCGTATCGCTTGGCAGCTTTTTGAACAATTGCTGCCATAAATTAGGTTGAGTTTTGTTTGTTGCAGTGTGAGTTGAGAAAAGTCAAGAGTTGCCTGCTAAAGACAATAACTTGCCATGTAGTTATTTCATGTTTTGTGGGAGAACACCACTGGTGGGAGGCCAAAACCCCCTGCCAAATTATGGTCAATTTACATTTTTATAAATCGATACTATTGGTCAGTTCCCTCATGGGTGTAAAGTTTTTGTTTTTTAATCAGAGATGCAAGTAAACCTTTGTAGAGATTTTTTTTTGCTCTGGTTCCCAAGGTTTTCATATGTAATGTTAATATTCATGAATTAAGGATAAGGATCAGCAGGTGGATTTTTTTTTGCCTGAAACATCATGGTTGTAATTAATGCTTAGTAAAATCAGAATTGTGCAAGCTTTAAAAAAAGTCAACCAAAGTATCTCAAAAACCTGATGTGCTGAAAAAAATGTCAAGACTTGGAAATCATTGAAAGAAAATATTGAGGGACACAAAGCCATCTCGGATTAAAATTTCCTGTTGACCAGTGTTACTGGCCAGCGTTGAAAATAGGCAGGTGATTTTTGATGACACAATGTTAGTTTTTTGAGATGCAAGGTTTCCATCAGACTTTCCCCAAAAAAGTCATTTGGGCGCTTGTAACTGACCTACTTGGGAGCTTATCATGTGGTGCGACGTCATATTACTGATGACGACACACCTTGGCGGCTGCAGGTCATGTGATTTTTTCTCACCTCACAACTCAGTGCAATGGCTTCTGTGCCTGGGATTTTCAATGTCATTAAATCAGAGAATAAGTGCGTTTTGCAGTGCCTTAAATATTGACCAATTTAACAGTGAAAATGTTTTCCCCTACTGTGTAGAACTGTCCCTGTTCTAGAATGTATTTTACCAAACTGGAGTAAAGTTACCTGTTGTCTTTTTCATGACCTCTTTTTGTATTGCATCTGAAAGCGGGTTCAGATGTCGATGTCGTGTCTGTGACAAGGGCCAAGGCCCTATTTTCTAAGAGATGTTTGTATTTTATATTGGTCACTTCATACTGTGTCTCACCAATTTGTCTTTAATAAATGTTTGGATTGCTCATCTCGTCTATTCATCTATAATTTGCGGGTGCCGAAAGACGGCCAATTGTGGCTCGTTTGGCTCCTTAAATCCAATGAATGCAGGTCAAATCCAGAAACGGGGGCGATATGGCACATTAAAACCAAGCGTTGGATTTGACACACTTCAGTGGAAACAGGCGTCGTGGAAATGTCTCCATCTTGTGGCTGGTCTGCGTATTGTGAAGGGATGCACTGAAATGACAAAGCCAATATCGTTAAGCTACAGAAGGTACAAAATAACGGGGCATTTAATCCAATGTGCCAATGACTCACACAGAAGCATGTGAAAATATTTTCTCTTGACATTTATTCAAATAAACAATACAGTTTATAATTTGCTAGGATAAAATAAGTCTGAACACAAGCATTTTGGGACACAACTGTCCGCCCCATAGTACTAGAAATGGGCAGCATTTTTTTTTCTTTTTTAGAATGGGGGGTTGTTGACACTTTGTTCTGTCATTCCCGTGACTTTGATCAGTGCCTGTACATGCGCGTCCTCTCTGCGGAAAGGCCGACATGTTCCACACAAACACAAAGGGAGCATTTACAAGCGGAGCCGTCCACAACCTGCAGCACTGGGGCACCGACATTTCGTTAACGTTAAATCATCAAATTAAAAAACAAAAGCAACCTTGTACTACCATCGTGACATCTATCCATTTAAAACGATGTTCAATCTCCCCCCCTGCGAGGAGTCACATCTTCACTATCAGCATTACTCGCGAGAATAAGAACCCCTCCCCCCGCCCTCACATCCCTGGTCTGTTTGGACACCCACTTAGCAGCACTGCCACTACATTCCGTGCCCAAGGTGCGAGTGGAAATCGAAGATGGGGGACCTCAAGCCGTGTTTGAGGGTGGGAGGGGGACAGCAACAAAACAAGAGTGAATGTCACTCAGTCTGGCAAAGAATTAATCTAAAAAAACAAAACTGAAGTGTCGGGCAGCAGGTTAGAAGCACGGACATTGAGCAGATGCGTGTTGGGACACCTTTTAAAACCTTGTCCGGCTTGGTAGTGTCCTTTCAGAGCTCCTGGTGAGGTCACCTGTGCGCTGCTCCTTATTGCCAAACACCTTTTACGATGTTCATAAAGAATAAATAGGTCAAAACGATGCAAACGCGTACCACACTTGCCCTTTAACTTCCATGCATATGGACTATTTACAAATTCGGGGGGGGAAAAAACCCACAGACTTACTAGTTTATTTTTTTTCCTTCTTATTTTTTTGTTTATGAAATGTCTTTGCCCCTTTACAATCAGCCCAGCACACAAAAGAACCTCGCCCCGTACTGCAGACATGGCCAGGACGATTAAAGCTGTTTAAAACATGTTCACACTAATGGGAAAAACAAAACAAAAAAAAAATCTAAAAAGATTCACAAGCCAAAAAAAAAAAAAAGTGGGAAAAAAAGGTGGAAAATAAGGTAGCTGAAGGGACAGTGTTACAAAACAAACCAAAAGAGGAAGTACGTTTTTGTTTAAGCTGGACTTTCTGCTGCTAACAATACTGTAGTACACTTTCTTTTATTACTCTACCTCTTTATTTAAATATAATTTACTTCGATATTGTTAAAGGAAAGGATGCAAAAGTGGTAGGTTTGCCAAAAGAGAGGCAGCAGAAGGCCCGTACTGCCCTGATCAATTGCATCAGCGCTCTTATTTTGTCAAGGTACTCCAGAGTCCAAAGCACTGAGACGTGTCCTCAATCCTCAATGTACTCCCACAAGTCCTTCTCGTAGCCTTCGTGCACGTGCTGCAGCAGAACCCGTCGCCGGCTCTCGCAGTATCTGCCCACACACACACACGCACACACACACACACACATCCGATCACATACACCAATCAAAGCCTGTGCGATTTCGCTCCAGATCCTCCACTGACCTGTACTTGTCTTGTACTTTCTGCTTGATATCCTGCAAGGAATCCTGGGAGATGTCTCGTTCTAGGTAACCAGACAGCACTTCAGTGGCATTTTCCAAGTCAGCCTGGTTATTCTGGGAGGGCGGCAAAATGTGTTACAGCCACACGAAACACACAATGACACTTGCTTCATCGCAGGAGTTACTTTCCAGGACTCAGTGGGTGACAAAAATTCACTATTTTATAAAATTACATGTAAAACTCAAGCAAGTCCCAAGTTACTGTGGGAGTGGACGGAGGGGAACAAACAAAAAAAAAAGCAAGTCACAGAGTCATCCATTCACCAGGAATGTGCACGCCCATTGGGGGGGGGGGGGGGCACATGTGTCTGTGTTCAACGGGATGTGTGACTCGTCACCAAATTTCAAGCAAGTCACTTTGAATATGTGTGCCTTTAAAAGGCGGGGCCTGGCCTGGTGAGTGACACAGAAGCTGGCAAACTCAGGTTTAGTCAGATTGCTTGTTGACTTTGAACCTTATCTCAAGCCTGGTATTTTAACTGCATTCACTTTCTATATGCTTGCATGAAATGATTCCTCTCATGGGACAACCTCTGAGTGCAAAGACAAAGGGCAGCCAGGGCGTGAATCGCCTTAAGAAAACAGGACCAAGCGTGTGTGTGAAAATGACCTTATGAGACCAAGAGTTGCCTCCCGGAGGATAATGGAGTATCACGCGACCTTGCGTCTTACCTCAAAAATAATTGACTGGTTGTTCTTCTTGAGGTAGAAGGCAAAGACGTAAGTGAACATGAGCGTGGAGCGGCATTGGCACAGCACGTCCACAGCCTTCTTCAGGAACTGCACCTCAATCCAGGACATGTTGTGCTGCTGCATCTCCTCCATCTTTTGCTTGACCTGAGCGTACAGCTTGTGCTCGAAGCGCAGGCTCTGCATGTGATTCATGTAGCGGTTGCAGTAGAACAGGTACCTCTGCAAGGCCGCCCTCGAGCGCTGCGCACGGGATGGAAAGACGTGACGTTGAGGCGGATTCCAACGGAAAGCCAGAGCCCGACGGAAAGCCGCATCACCCTTTCCAGACAACTTACCTCTTGAGCGTCTCTGGCGGCCTTGGCATCGTCTTCGTTGTAGCGATTGCAATTGTACCTACAACACAACAACACGGCATGTTTTGTGAAATACCAATCTAGTTTACGGATGGAAATTTGAACGAGAATCATGGAATAACAGTCAAATGCACAAGCGGTACCCCCACTTTAGCATAATAATAAAAATACATTTCATTTGTGGGCGCCTTTCTAGGAACTCAAGGACACCTTACAACAAACTGTTAAAAATCACAATATACTACTCATACTCATTGCCCAAAATAATTGGCGCGTTTAGGTTTGCTAAAGTTCCTGCTAATTTCCAGAAAGATGTTAATATCAAGTTTTTAATAGGTTGTCCCACTCAAGTACAGTACACAACGGATTTTCCACGAGACCAAAGTGTCTGTTGTAATTTTTATTATTATTTTAATGAATAAATTGCTTTGACCAGACTTGGCATCAGACATGCAGACCAAAATAAAAATGAAGACATCTAATCTAAGATCTCATTTTGTTCGTTCGGGTGTAGCTAATGTTGCGTCGGCTAAGTGCGACAAAGTTCTGTACTTCCATGGCAAACTTTTGTTTTTAATCACATCAACAATGAACGTTTTTTACCAAGCAGAACCGTGAGGCTCCCATGGGCCTAGGCAGACCCAGCAGAACTCAGCTTTGCAGTTCTGGTTCCGACAAACCATGTGATTGCAGCCTCCGTCTTTCTCGATGGTCACATGGCACTTTGGACACTCCTACAAGGGACAGAAGTTTTATACCAAGAATAATAGAATTATGATTATGACAATTCATTAATATCTAAAACACCAACTTCTAATCAAGTTGCTCAAGGTTTATCTTTTTTTTTCGTATCGTATCGTATATTTCAGTGGATATTGAGCAACAAAATGGACTGTTGCACCGGTCTGCACATGCATGCAGTTCACAATGTCAAGTTGGGCACAGGTTCCCCTCTGCTGATTATGGAGACACAAATAGGAATACAACCATCTTATCTCCAACCTGACCCATTTTACTGACCGCCCTCTCAGTTGATCTGTGCTTAGCCTGTGAGATTTATCAGCGTTTCCAACTTGACTGTTAGATTTGACTGGAGCATAAGACACAGGAAGGGAACAAAATGATTTGCTAATAGATTGTATTGTTCTTAAATCCATCGGTGGCCAGAAAAAAAAAAAAAAAAAAAACTCATCGTCATGCCCACAACAATTAGAGCACCAATGTATCCAGAATGCAAACTTGATTAGTTTCACTAAGTAACTACTTGACTTCTTTACCTTTGTATTTGCGGCAATCCAGTTTGAAGTTTCACTGTCATCGTCGCATTTCTTAATCCACTTTCTCAGCCACTGCAAATTTCAAGTGATGTCAGAAATGAAAAGATCACTCTTGACTTTAAAAAAATGGAGAGATTCTTATTTGTATTCATAAATATTTGCTCATACCTTGCACTTGACAGGATCGTGCCAGTTCTCACCACAGTTGAAGCTGCAGCATGATTAAAAAAAAAAAAAAGTGAAACATTCACGCCTTGGACATTCAAGACTTTTTTCGAACGTTTGTTTTTCTCATACCAGAATTGACGGCCACACTTGCACCGCACAGGTTTGGCATCTGGGTACTGAACTTTAACGACATGATGGCAGTCTGGAGCGGGGCACCACTTTAACAGTCGATTGCACTGAAAATGACACACGGAGATTCTGACTATTTGAACCACTACAGTACTAGCAGCTAAATGGAACTCATGTGATTATCAATGTACAGTGGACCCCCACCAAAATGGGAGTTATGCGACACTGGTCTATAACTGTCATACACCATGAACAAAGTAATATTAGACCAAACTATTTTATAATTAATTCATTAACAATTTTCACTATATGCCACAGTGGTTAGTGGTGATGCTGCTTTCGTAGGTGCAAATAAGTTCACTTTTGCTCTTTACCATCATGGTAAACTTTTGTCCCTATTGAAAGTCACATTT